CATTCCTGCACAGAAAAATGCCCGTGACTCTCCCATGACCTAATGTGTTGGGACCTCCGGGTCTCTACCTGGGACAGGTCCACCACATCCTCTGGGTTCTATAAAACAAAGCTTTGAGACTCACTTAGCCCCGACCTCTCCTCCAGTTCTGGAAGGCGGTCCCTTCTACTGGCCAAATGCCTGTAAAGTGATTTTTAATTGTCTTCTTATGAAAGTTAAAATCATGCTCTAGATTTGGGAAGTTAAAAAAAAAAAACAGGAAGGAAAAAGGGGCAAGAGCACAACAGAAAGAGCTCGAACCAATGAATTCCTATCTTCCATCAAACATCAAGAGTTAGAACCAATGAATTCCTATCTTCCACCAAAAATCAAGAGTTAGAGCCAATGAATTCCTATCTTCCATCAAACATCAAGAGTTAGAGCCAATGAATTCCTATCTCTCACCAAAAATAAAGTCTTAAGCCTGGTTATATGATACCACAAATATTTTTTATAATTGTTTATTTAATGTTATTTATTATTACTATCTTTAATTTCCTATAGAGTATGTGTGCTAATGAGAGAGAGAGAGAGAGAAAGTAAGAAATCAATCCACCAGGTCTGGGACTCAGACCGCAGTTGGCCATGTGGGAGTCCAGTGCCTTAACCACCACCCCACCTGCTGGCCCTGACACCACAGATACACTTTTTAAATGAAAGATAAAGCTAGCTGTCCCTCTGGTATTATGAAAATCACAGTGTCTATCCTTGTGTGGACTAAATAATACGGTGAGGCCGTGTTCAAATTCTCACTCAGATGTGTTAGTTCAAATGCAGTGTAAGTCTCAGCTGCCCCTGAGCATGCTACCCTTAGAAAGTCAAACGCTGGACAGAAACTCAGGTTGGAAGCGTGTGGATCTGCCAGACACGCTGAAGGAAAAGGCAAAGGCTTTATGAAACATGATCACCAATGCTCGGTAAAGGGTTTCTGGTTTGTAGCATATAAGACCGAAATGAATGAAGGTGAGAAAAATCTCCAACCTTCTAGAGAGTAACATACTCCTATCTCCCCACCATCTCCTTGTCTCTCTCTCCAAAGAGAGCAGAGAACAGCAAGGCCTTGAGGCACACACACTGGAAGTAATAAGGAAAGGAGAGTGTGCCAAGGAAGAGGTGGGCACTGCCGTTATCAACACAGAGCAGAGGACATCTCACACATGGGAGTCAGGTGCATTTCTATACACGAACAATAACAAAGTGCAAAGTAAGCAATTCCTCTTACAGTAGCTTCAGAAAGAATGAAATACTTAGGAACTGACTTAACCAAGGAGGCAGAAGATTCACGCAACAGACACGGTAAAACACGGCTGAAAGAAATTAGAGAAGACGTAAATCAGTGGAAGTGTATCCCATGTTCATGGATTATTAAGATGTTAGTACTACCCCAAGTGGTCTACAAATTCATTGTAACCTACTGAGTATCAAAATCCTAGTGACACGTTTTGCAAAAATAGATAACCCATCCTAAAATTCATATGGAATTTCAAGAGACCTTGAATAGCCAAAACAATCTTGAAAAAAGAAGATCAAAGCTGGAGAATTCACACTTTTTTTTTTCCGCTATAGGGCGCGTGCGCTCGCCAGACAGACAGAGAGAGACATAGAGACAGAAAGCGAGAAATCACCCCCAGGGGGGATGGTCACGCCACAATCCCTTCTCCTCCATTCTCCTCTCGGGATCTTGGGCACACACGCACACACACCCGGCGTGAGTTTTAAGCCACCGGGTCCGGGACTCGAACCGCGGTCGACTACGTGGGAGTCCAGCGACATAGCCATTACGCTAACTGCTGGCTCCCAGAATTCACACTTTTTGATTTCAAAAGTTGCTACAAAGCAAAACCAGTCAAACTCAGGGTGGTAATGGCATAAAGACAGACATATAGACAAATGGAATAGGACCAAGAAACCGGAAATAAATGCTCACATATGGTCAAGTAACGTTTTGTCAAGGGGGTCGTGACCATTCAATCGGAAAGACTGTTCAGCAAATGGTGCTGGGGAACCGGAAAAACAAACATGCGCAAAACAGTGAAGGTGGGCCCTTACCTGACACCGTACACAAAATCAACTCAGAACGGATCAGAGGCCTGCATGCAAGACCTAGAGCTATAAAACTCAGGGCCAGCAGATGGCAGAGAGGTTACGTCGCTGGGCTCCCCCACATGGCTGACCGTGGTTCGAGTCCCAGACCTGGTGCATGTGTGTGTGCCCATGATTCTAAGAGGAGAATGGAGGAGAAGGGACTGTGGCGTGGCCATTCCCCCGGGGAGTGATTTCTCACTGTCTTTGTCTCCCTCTCTCTCTAACAGGCACATAGGCCCTAAGGCAAAAACCTCTTTAAAAAAAAACAAAAACTGTAAAACTCTTTGAAGACAAAACTAGGATAGAATCTTCATAAAATTTGATTTGGTAGTGACTTTTTTGGATGTGACATGAAACACGAGTGACAAATACGCAAACATTTAAAAATGCAGAGAAATTAGAACGTCTGCCCCAAGCATGTTGGAGAGCCCCCCACTGTGACGCGAGAGTGGCCATCGGAGCTGCTGCTCTTCCAGTCACTGCTGTAAGGATGGTGGCCACAAACCACAGGCCTGCAGAGCGTCCCCAACCTGACAACACAACGGGGCTGGTTCCTATCAAAGGCGCTCGGTGTGGTCTGCGAGGGAGCGTGTAAGGGCGGTTCAGTCACGTGCCTGGAGCGATGCGTGCTGAAATCCGGTCATACAGGGCGCTGACCGGTGAGTGTAGATTCCCCCTCCTTATTTCTGAAGGCCGGATCTCTGTACGTCGCTCTCTTAGAAACTGTTCTAGCCCTCGCTGTGCCTAACCGCACCCCACTCGGAACAACTCTACTTTTGGTTTTAGGGAAAAGGTATAAAGCATTTATTATTGAAAAATATTAATAAAAACAAAAGCCCTGACTCACCGAGCTGTTGAGGCATCTGGGTGTAGGCCCCGCCCCCAGAGACTGTGTGATGAGCACTTGCTGGGCCTAAGGTGACCGCCGCTGAGCGCGAAAGGCCCAGTTCCTTCCTGACTTCCGGACTTACACCTGGAAACTGCAGCAGGGTAGCGTGCCTCACTCCAGCACCGCTCCAGCGCCGGGCCTGCACTTCCTGGCCTCACCTCCTGTACCCCCAGCCCCTGAACACTTGCTTCCCCTTTCACTGCGGAGGGTTGCCATGTCACCTTCCTCTCTCTCTAAGGAAGAAGCCACCAGCCCTGAGCCCAGGCGCGTTCCCCTCCCCGCTTTCCCACCGCGACTAACAGCAGCGCAGCCTGCTCTCACCCCGCACTTCCAGCAGGCCCCCCAGAGCGACGGCTTCAGCTGTCACCAAATCCGGCTGCATCTGG